TTTTCCCCCCAAAGCCCCAGCAGACAGCTGCATGTCATAGGTTCACATCCTTCTAGTTGCTGTACGTGGGACTCGGCCTCGCGCTGGACGGAGAAGTGGTGCCTCGGGGCGCACCCGGGATCCGAACCCGGGCCGCCAGCATCAGAGCGCACGCACTTAACCGCTAAGCCACGGAGCCGGCCCTGCCACTAGCCTTATGTGGCTACTGAGCACTCGAAATAAACCTAACCTAAATTGAGATACACTGCAAGTGTGAAATATACACCTGATTTCAGGATATGAAACATTTCATTAATAAATTTTTATATTGATTACATGTTGAAGTAATACTTTGGCTATACTGGGTTAAATAAAATATATTATTAAAATTAATTTCACCTATTTCTTTTTTAATGTGGCTACCAGAAAATTTTAAATTACATATGTAGCTCACGTTATATTTCTACTGGACAGTGCTGTTCTAGAAGTTTCTGGGTTAGTCATGGGGAACAAAGAGGTCAAAAGACTGAGGACTAGTTATATGGCCTCCTTAGAGTAAGGACAATAAATAAAAATTCTTGCATTGCTCTAAAACTTTGCTATTTAGTGGGACCAGACCATTCAAATGGATGCCATAAAAGAGAGACATGAGGGAATGCAGGCATCTAAGAGTAAGAATATATTATTTTGGTGAACTGATTCTGTCTTTTAAGATGTCTCCATGGGACTCTACTCTTTAATCCTGCTCTAAAACTGTACATGCCTGCACAGCTGTGGTCAGAAAGCTAGAATGCTCTCGCTTGCTTTCTCTATGGACAACTTACTTGCTTGCCTCTTTATTTCACTTAGATAATTTGGATTTTTCGGCCTGAAATAAAAACTCCGGGGGCCGGCCCCAGGGCTTAGCGGTTAAGTGCACGCGCTCCGCTACTGGCGGCCCGGGTTCAGATCCCCGGCGCACACCACCACACCGCTTCTCCGGCCACGCTGAGGCCGCGTCCCACATACAGCAACTAGAGGGATGTGCAGCTATGACATACAACTATCTACTGGGGCTTTGGGAAAAACAAAGGAGGAGGATTGGCAATAGATGTTAGCTCAGAGCCGGTCTTCCTCAGCAAAAAGACGAGGATTAGCACAGATGTTAGCTTAGGGCTGATCTTCCTCACAAAAAAAAAAAAAAAAAACCTCCAGAGATCACCAATCCCTTTTTTTTTCAGTCTCTTGTCTCAATACCATCCTCTAGTAATGTGCTCTTTTCTCAAATTTGAAGTGTCTCTGGATAAAGAGAAATAAGCAGTTAGTCAATTTTTTCATTACTGACCTGCATTTCATATTTCAGAGTCATGTGGAAGCACCAGGATCCCATTCCTACCACTGAAATTAAAAGAAACAAATAAAAAAAACAATTAGCTTGAAATTCTTTGGGGGTGGCCAGAGTGACTTGAGAGGACAATAAGACATTTCAAAGCACTGAGTTTTAAGAAGAACAAAGCTTACGAAATTGTGTGCAGGATATAGCAGACTCTGCATAAGCTCTATAATGGATGAAATTTTGGTATAGAAAACAAGTACAGTGTGAGTTCTCTTAAATTCCCTCCACTACGTGATTTACTAGATTAGTCAATATTCTCCATTCTTTCTATAAAATCTATGACCTGATGCTCAGGATAAGCTTTAACGCCCATAGCTGGTTAGCTGCACCTCAGTACTTCCTTGCACTTCTGATCCAAATAGTTGAACTGTATGCTTACTAAGAGCCAGTCAGTTGTTTGTTCCCAAATCTGTTAACGCCACTGTATTTAGTTATCAGAAATATGACTGCAAAAAGAGAGCTTTGTTTCTATTTAAAATGCTTAAAACATACTCAATAAAAGAGAGCTGCTAATAAAAACTTCTGTTGAATTAGGTGTGGTGAAGATATCTGTTACAGGTTGTGAAAAATAGTAAAAATCTAAAGATTCTGTATTTGTGTCTAAAAGTTCTTCCCAAGTGCCTCTATTTTAAATAAACTGTTTTTTCACTTTGGGGTTTTTAAAATTTTTTGTTTGTTTTTTAATGCAAGAAAGACTACATAGAACTACAATTAGGGTCCCATATTCAAAGGCCATGCCCTACATCAAATAATTGTCAAAGATTATATAACTATATGTTTTAATTAAAACTTTAAGGTCAGTTTATATATATTTTTCAACAATTATATGCTTTGACTTTTTAAAAATTAACTGACCAGATATCAGCCCCTATCACATCTGGTAACAGGGCTTCTCCTGTGATTCATTCAGTTCAGTTCAACAAGCATTTACCTAGCACCTCCTATTTGCCAAATTCAGCTCCAGATGCTGAGGTACAAAGATAAGAGCCAGTCATTGGCCTTAATGAAGCATACAGTCTAATGGAGGAGACAGGCAGATAAATGGCAGAAGCTGCCAGTATATGGACATATGATAAAGAGATACACACCGAGTGCCATGGGAACACACAAGGGGGGGCACTTACGTCAGAGAAAGCAAGAATGATGCCGCAGGAGTCAGCCCAACAAACATGGTGAACGGGGGTGTCACCAAATAATTTGTACAAAGCCACTTGAGAAAAATGTCAAACTCTGTTACTTTTGCTTTTCAAAAAAAATTACTATGTACATTATAACATTATTTTTTAACTGCTCAAAATAAGACGAGAGAAGTAAAGAGTTACTGCACTCATTTTACTAAAGAGAGGAAGCAGGATGGCTGGTGTCTTTTTTTCCAAAGGAGATATTAGAAGGTGCAAAGGTGGATAAATTAATGGAAGGGGGAAAAAAAAAATCAAACCCAGTTAAAGTCACACAATATATCATGAAGTAAAAAAATAAAAATGAAGTGGGATGACTATTCATCCTGAAAGGCAGACTGGCCACTTAATCATGCCTCACTCAAGGACTGCTTTTATTCAAACTTTTTCAAACGTTCTCTTGCTACTATCTATTATGTAGCTTTAAAAGTTTCTGATTTTCCAGAGAGCTCTACAATTTATTTCCTTTCAACAATCCATTTAGAATGCAAAGAAATGTAACAGAACAGCATCACCTTTCTCCACACAATATTTTATATTTTGCCACTTTAAAGCAAACCACCAATTTTTGCTAAAGTTTATCAGTTTTATTGAGATATAATTCACACACCATAAAATTAATTTATTTAAAATGCACAATTCAATTGTTTTTAGTATGTTTACAGAATTGTGCAACCAGTAACATTATCTACATTTTAGAACATTTTCATCACCCCAAAGAGAAACCCCACACCTATTAGCAGTCACTCCCTATTTCTCCTCAAATCTCCTCCCTCCTCAGCCCTAGACAACCATCAATCTATCTTCTGTCTCTACAGATTTGCCTCTTCTGGACTTTTCATATAAATGGAATCAAACAATATGTAGTCTTTTCTTCCTGGTTTCTTTCACTTAGCATAATATTTTTAAGGTTCATTCATGTTATAGCATGTATCAATAATTCATTCCTTTTATGGATGAATAATATTCCGTTGTATGGACATACCATATTTTATTTATCCATTCACGAGGTGATGGACATTGTTATGGATTGCATGTTTGTGTCCCCGTTAACTCATATGTTGAAGCCCTAACCCCCAATGCGATGGTATTTGAGAGATGGGGCCTTTGTGAGGTAATTAGGTTTAGATGAGGTCATGAGAGTGGGGTCCCCATGATGGGATTAGTATCCTTATAAGAAAAAGAAGAGACAGAACCTCACTCTCTCCACCTACATGCAACAAGGATAGGCTATGTGAGCACACAGGGAGAAGGCAGCAGTCTGCAAGCCAAGAAAGGGGCTCTCAACAGGAACCAAATAAGCCAGCACCTTAATCTTGGACTTCCCAGCCTCCAGAACTGTAAAAAATAAATGTCTGTTGTTCAAGCCATCCAGTCTATGGTATTTTATTATGGCAGCTGGAGCTAATACAGACATTTAGGTTTTTTCCCATATTTTAGCTATTATGAATAATGCTGCTATGAACATTCATGTACAAGCTTTTGTGCAGACATGCATTTTTTCTTTTTAAACGGTGGAGCTTTGATTTTATTTTATTTTTATTTTTTTAATTTAATTAATTAATTTATTTTTTCCCCCAAAGCCCCAGTAGATAGTTGTATGTCATAGCTGCACATCCTTCTAGTTGCTGTATGTGGGACACGGCCTCAGCACGGCTGGAGAAGCGGTGCCTCGGTGTGCGCCCGGGATCCGAACCCAGGCCACCAGTAGCGGAGCGCGAGCACTTAACCGCTAAGCCACGGGGCCGGCCCTCTTTTTTTTTTTAATATCTTTATTTTATTCATATATTTTTATGTCCCCGAGATCATTCTGTATGGACATTTTCTTTTAATTTTATTTTTGGTTTATTGTGGTAACATTGGTTTATAACATTATATAAATTTCAGGTGTACATCATTATACTTCTATTTCTGCATGGATTACATCATGTTCTCATGTTCACCACCCAAATACTAATTTCAATCCATCACCACACACATGTGCCTAATTATCCCTTTCACCCTCCTCCTTCCCCCCCTTCCCCTCTCGTAACCACCAATCCAATCTCTGTCTCTATGTGTTTGTTTGTTGTTATCATCTGCTACTTAATGAGTGAGATCACACGGTATTTGACTTTCTCCCTCTGACTTATTTCAGTTTGCATAATACCTTCAGTGTCCACCCATGTTGTCACAAATGGCTGGATTTCATCGTTTCTTATGGCTGAGTAGTATTCCATTGTGTATCAATACCACATCTTCTTTATCGATTCTTCCCTTGATGGGCACTTAGGTTGCTTCCATGTCTTGGCTATTGTGAATAACGCTGCAATGAACACAGGGGTGCATGTATCTTTTCGCATTGGTGTTTTCACGTTCTTTGGATAAATACCCAGCAGTGGAATAGCTGGATTGTATGGTAGTTCTATTCTTAATTTTTTGAGGAATCTCCATACTGTTTTCCATAGTGGCTGCACCAGTTTGCACTCCCACCAGCAGCGCACGAGAGTCCTTCTCTCCACATCCTCTCCAACACCTGATGTTTCCTGTCTTGTTGATTATAGCCATTCTGACGAGTGTGAGGTGATATCTCATTGTAGTTTTGATTTGCATTTCCCTGATAATTAATGATGCTAAACATCTTTTCACGTGCCTGTTGGCCATCTGTATATCTTCTTTGGAGAAAAGACATATGTTTTCATTTCTCTTGGGTATATACCTAGGAGAGTAATTTCCAAGTCATATGGAAACATATAGAAGAGTTTCTATATGAAGAACTGGCAAAGAGTTTTTCAAAGTGGCTGCATCATTTTACACGCCCATCAGTAATATACGAATTTCTCCACATCCTCCCAATACTTGCTATTTGTTGTCTTTCTGATTATAGCCATCATAATGGATTGAAGTGGTATTTCATTGTGGTTTTGACTGGCATTTCCCTAATGACTACCCCATTCCCTGTTCTTTTCTAGTAGAATGTTCCACATTTTAGATTTGTGTGATTGTGTTTTTTTCATGGACTTCATTGTTTAGAGCAGTTTTAGGTTCTCAGCAAAACTGAGCAGAAAGTATAAAGATTTTCCACATAATCCCTCTCCTCCACATGCCCTCCCCACCACGATCAACATCCCGTAACACAATGGTACATTACAACTGATGAACCTACACTGACACATCATTAGCACCCAAATTCCACAGTTTACATTATGGTTCACTCTCGGGTATGGACAAATTTATAATGACATGTATCCACCACTGTAATATCATACAGGGTGGTTTCATTGCCCTAAAAATCCTCTGTGCTCTGCCATTTCATCTCTCCCTCTCCCCTGACCCCTGGCAAGCACTGATCTTTTTACCGTCTCCATAGTTTTGCCTTTTGCAGAATGTCATATA